GAGCGTGTCTGGCAGGGCCTGGGTGAGGGGCAAGCAGGGGGCATTGCACAAGGGGTCTGGTAGGGGGTGCTATGCTGGGGGGCAGAGCAGTGGGTCTATTGAGGGGTGCCAGGGTATGTGGTAGGGGCACAGTGAGAGGAATCTGTGTTGGGAGGGGGATGCCATGTTGGGGTGGATCCACCCGAGGGTGCTGTGCTGGGGGAGGGGGTGTTGCAGGGGAACAACCCTCACCCCCAGTGCCCCTCGTAGGTCTCACTGCTCTTTGAGGTGGAGAACCTGGCGGTGGCCTCTCCAGCCACAGTGTCCCGCTGTGGCGTGGTCTACATGGACTACAGTGACCTGGGCTGGAGGCCCTATGTCCACTCCTGGATTGAGCGGCGCCCCAAGGTGCCTGGGTGGGTGGGCAGTCAGGCTGAGAACCAGGGGTGCCCCACGGAGTCGGGGGATGTCTCCTGCTGAGAGGCTGAGATGCCCCGTTTCTCCTCCCAGAGTGAGGCTGAGACCCTGCAGCACATGTTCGACAAGTTTCTGGACAAGATGTTAGCCTTCAAGAGAGACAACTGCTGCGAGCTGGTCCCCATGCCTGAGTACAGCGGTGTTGTGGCCCTCTGCCGCCTCTTTTCAGCCCTGGCCACGCCTGAGAATGGGGTAGGTCGGGGACATTCTAGGTGCAGCAACCAAAAACCACCTTTTTGCGACTGTACTTCCTATCTGTGCCAACACAGAGCTATGGGGTGCGCCCTTATTTTGTGGAGCCTAGAACTGCACCCTCACGTTCTTGGCATGTCAGCCTGGACTCACCCCACCCACCCTCATGTTCTGGGCACATCAACTTAGACCTGAGAACAGGGGAGGTTGGGGATGTTTTAGGTACTGTAAACTGTCCCTGCTCCATCTGTGCATTCTAGATGTGTCAACATAGAGCTGCATGACAGCATCATTTCCTGGAACTGTCATGTTCTAGGTACATCTACTTACACTCACCCCACTGCACCCTTGTGTTCCAGGTACACCAATCTAGACTCATCCCACCACACTCTCCCATTCTAGGTATGTCAACCTAGACCCACCCCACCACCCTCTTCCATTCTAGGTACATCAACCTAATTCCACCCCACCACACCCTCACATTCTAGATGCATCAACCTCGACCTGAGGAACAGGGTAGGTTTGGGATATCCTAGGTGTGTCAACCGAGGACTGCCCCCCACTATGTCCATATGTTCTACATGTGCCAACGAAGAGCTGAGTGGTTGTGTCCTTATTTCCTGGAACCCTTGCATTCTGGGTACATCTACTTTCACTCTCTCACATTCTAGGAACATCAACCTAGACCCACCCTACCCCACCCTCATGTTGTAGGCATGTCAATCTAGTCCCACTCCAGTACACCCTCACATTCTAGGTACATCAACCTAGACCCAAGAGCAGGGTAGGTTCAGGACATTCTAGTTGTATCAGCCAAGAACTGCCTTCACTGCCTCTGTATATTCTAGATGTGCCAGCATAGAGCTGAGTGGCTGCATCCTTATTTCCTGGAACGTTCATGTTCTAGGTACGTGTGCTTACACTCACTCCACTGCACCCTCATGCTCTAGATACATCAACCTAACCCACCCCACCCCCTCACATTTTAGGTGCATCAAGCTAGTCCCACTCCACCACATTTTCACATTCTAGATTCATAACCTAGACCCAAGAACAGGGTAGGCTAGGGACATTCTAGGCTCATCAACCAAGAACTGCCCCCTGCTGTGTATGTTCTAGATGTGTCAACGTAGAGCTGAGTGGCTGCGTCCTTATTTCCTGGAACCTAGAACTGCACCCTTCTAGATACGTTCCCTTAGACCCACCCTCACATTTTAGACATGTCAACCTCGACCCACTCCATCACACTCTCACGTTCTAGGTACCTCATCTTAGATCCACCCCACCCATACTATATTCTAAGTACATCAAACTAAACATACCACCACACCCTCACATTCTAGATCAGAGGCAGGCAATTATTTCAGACGGGGGGTCACTTACTGAGTTGTGGCAAACCATCAAGGGACACATGACAGGCAGCCAAGAGCAGATAAATATTAATTTTCTAGATTTTTTAGGGGCCTCGTGGGCTGAATAGAATGGCATGGCAGGCTGCATCTGGCCCATGGGCCACATTTTGCCTTCCTTTGTTCTAGGTACTAGACTTGAGCACTATGAAACCAGTCTGGGTTGGGTGGGATAGTGTAGAGACCTGTGCTGCCTCCAACCAGCCAGGATTTGGCACCAGGGACCCACACTGCCCCTGCCCAGCTGGGATTGGGACTTGGCCCTGTCCTCTTGCCTGACATGCTAAGCTCAATGTTCCCCACCAGTCTGGACATTTCTGGACCCATAGGAAGACCTGTGGGTGGGGTGATGTGGCACTGTAGGCCAGACTTGGCCTGTGAACTAGGGGTTGAGCACCTCTGTTCTAGATACCTGGTGGTCCAGGTCTGTCAATCTGATGTTCTAGATATGTCAACCTGATGTTTTTGATATACCAGCCTAATTTGAGTAGATTACTTACATATTCTGGTCAATCTATTGCTTTAGGTGTCCGCTCAGTAATCTAAGTGGCTGGGCGTTCTAGGTACATCCACTAATTGCTTTAGCTGTCAGCTCCAATAGTTTAAGTGGTCTGCTGTTCTAGGTACGTCAACTAATTGCTCCAGGTAAACTATTGAGCTAACATGTAGAGCAATTGGTTGGCATACCTAGACCAGCAGACTGCTTAGTCTATCGAGTTGACAAGTGTTCTGATGTTCTAGGTATGTCAATTTATTGCTCTAGGTATGTCAACTAATTGCTCTAGGTGTCAGCTCAATAGTCTTAAGTGGTCTGCCATTCTAGGCGTGTCAACTAATTGCTCTAGCTACATCAACTAATTGGCCTAGATACACAATCCTGTTGTAGGTTTGTCAACTCACTGTTGTAAGTGCCTCACATCGTTGCTTTAGATCTGTCAACTCGTTGTTCTAGGTACATCAAGTCAGCATTTCAGGGGTTTCAGCTCCCTGTTCTCATTGCTCTCCTGCTCAGCCCTGGACCCCGCTTCCCTCTCCCTTTCTCCAGGTGAACCCGGCGGATGTAGAGAGCTACGGTGCAGTGCTGGAGATGTACTTCCTGTTCAGCATGATCTGGTCAGTGTGCGCGGCTGTGGATGAGGAGGGCCGCAAGCGGATTGACGCCTACATCCGTGAGATGGAGGGCTCCTTCCCCAATAAGGTGCCCCACCCCCAGGGAGGGCTGAGCTCAGGGGGTGAGGGATTCCTGGGCTCCCCGGACTCCTGGGTTCTCTGGTGTTCGGAGCCCGCCCCCCACCTCATGGCTGCTCGTGTCCCGGCAGGACACAGTCTACGAGTACTTTGTGGATGCCAAGAGGAAGAACTGGGCCTCGTTTGAGGACAAGCTGCCCAAGATGTGGCGCTACCCGCCTACGTGAGCACCTGGCAGAGGCGGGATGGGGGGGCATGAGGACAGAAGGAAACCAGGGCTGGTCCATGCACTGCTTGGGTGGAGGGGGAGCAGGCCTGGTCCATGTGGCAGGGAGGGGGGTGCCAGATTGGAGCTGGCCTATTTGGCAGGGATGTGGGGTGCCAGGCTTGGATTGGTCCATTTGGCAGGGAGTGGGATGCCAGACTTGGACTGGCCCATTCAAGCAGGGAGCAGGGTTCCGGGCTTGGATTAATCCATTCAGTTGGGAATGGGGGTCCCAGGCTGGGACTGGCACCCCCATTGGGTGTTGGTCCATTCGGTAGGGAGTGGGGTCCATTTGGCAGCGACTGGGACTGGTTCATTCAGCAGGGATGGGGTGCCAAACTTGGATAGGTCCATGCAAGCTGGGGCAGGGCAGACTTGGGTTGTTGGTCCATGTGGCAGGGAGGGGGGTGCTAGGCTTGGACTGCTCCTTGTATTTGAGAAGACTTGGGCTGGTCCATATGGCAGGGAGGGGAGTGCCACACTCTGGCTAGACCATGCAGGAAGGGAGGGGGTGGGTGATGCTGGATTCAGATGGTCCATTCAACAGGAAAGCGGGGTGCCAGGCTCAGCCCTGCCTTGAACCCCCTGCTCCCCTGCCCAGTGCCCCCTTCCACAAGATCCTGGTGCCCACGATGGACACGGTGCGCTACAACCACCTGGTGACGGCGCTGCTCTCAGCCCAGAGCCCTGTGCTGCTGGTCGGCCCCGTGGGTACCGGCAAGACCTCCATCGCCCAGGGCGTCCTGCAGGGCCTGGACCGCACTGCCTGGGCCGTGCTCACCGTCAACATGTCTGCCCAGGTGCCGGTGGGACCCAGGAGTCTGGGCTGCCCTGGACTCCCTGGGACAGAGACTGGGGGAGGAAGGGGGCCTGGTGGGAGGGTGTCACGCTGTCTGGCAGGGCAGGAGTGGAGGGGCACCAGTGGGAGGGGGCTGTGGGTCAGGAATGAAGGGCACCTGCAAGGCTGGGGGGTGCAGGGGGCTGCAGGTTGGGAGTGAGGGGTGCTGGCAGGACCCAGGGGCTGTAGGTCAGGAGTGAGGGGCACCAGCAGGGCTGGGGTGGGCACTGCAGGTTGGGAATGATGGGCACCAGCAAAGCCTCATGGCCTGGCGACCTGCAGACCTCATCCAGCAATGTGCAGAGCGCCGTGGAGAGTCGTGTGGAGAAGCGTACCAAGGGCGTGTATGTGCCACTGGGTGGCAAGAGCCTCGCCACCTTCCTGGATGACCTCAACATGCCGGCACGTGATGCCTTCGGGGCACAGCCCCCCCTCGAGCTGCTGCGCCAGTGGCTGGACTATGGCTTCTGGTACGACCGGGCCAAGCAGAGCCCCAAGTACATCAAGGTGAGGGGCTGCAGGTCAGGGGTGGGAGGACACTGGCAGGGCTGGTGGTGGGGGAGAGGGGGCTGTGGTTCAGGAGTGAGGGGCACCGCAGTCCCCTCTTGTCACCCTTGGGATTGTATTTGCTGCTTGGAGCCTCTTAGGTTGTTGAGCATGGGGCCCCCCCAGCCTGGCGGTGCCAATGTGCCCCCCTGGCACCATGCCCCTGTCTTCTTCCCCCCCAGGACATGTTCCTCCTGGCAGCCATGGGCCCCCCTGGGGGAGGCCGCACCGAGATCTCCCCCCGGCTCCAGAGCAGGTTCAACCTCATCAACATGACCTTCCCCTCGGTAAGGGGGATGTGGGTCAGAACTGAGGGGAACTGGGAGGGGGCAGGGGGACAGAAAGCTGAGGGGCAGAGGGAGCGGCACCAGCAGGGCAGGGGGCTGCAGGTCAGGAGTGAGGGGCACCCGGGGGCGGGGGCTGTGGGTTGGGAGTGAGGGGTACTGGTGGAGCAGGGAGCCAAGGGCCAGCCAGTGCCAGACTGTGCCTGGCTGCCCTGTGCGCCCCCTCCCCATCCCCCCAGGACTCCCAGATCCGCCGCATCTTTGGGACACTGATGAACCAGAAGCTCCAGGCCTTTGAGGAGAGTGTGAAGCCACTGGGGCCAGTGGTGACGGAGGCCACGGTGGAGCTGTACCACAGTGTGGCGCAACGCTTCCTGCCCACACCTGCCTGCATCCACTACCTGTTCAGCCTGCGTGACATTGCCAAGGTCCACTTCGGGGTAGGGGGGGTGGGGGTGGCGTGCTTGGGGCACTGGACTGGGCAGCACTGTGCCCAGGCTGCCGGCTGGATCAGTGCCAATGCAGTTCCACTCCCCACCCCCCCCACCCCACAGGTGTTCCAGGGGCTGCTGCGGTCACACAAGGATTTCCATGACACCAAGACCAGCCTCACCCGCCTCTGGGTACACGAGTGCTTCAGGTGGGTGCCTCACTCCCCCTGCCAGCCAGAGAACCCAGGCATCTGGGCTCCCTGCCTCCCCTAGGCCTGGGAGGAACCCAGGCATCTGGGCTGCCCACAGGGTCTTTGCTGACCGGCTGGTGGATGCGGGTGATGCCGAGGCCTTCACGTGCATCGTAGGCGAGAAGCTGGGCACCTTCTTTGACCTCACCTTCCATGGACTCTGCCCCTCCAAGCGCCCGCCCCTCTTCGGTGAGCCTGGGGGGCCGGATGCCTGGGTTCTCTCTGGCTCAGGGAGGAAGTGTGGGTGCCCAGGTGCCTGGATTCCCCCTGACTCCGGGAGGGGCTGGCATGTGGGTGCCCAGATGCTTGAGTTTCCCCATGGCTCTGGGAGAGGCTGGCGTGTGGGTGCCCAGGTCCCTGGGCTCTCTCCGGCTGGTGTGCGGGTGCCCGGACACTTGGATTCCCCCTGGCAGGGGACTTCCTGGGGGCGCGGCGGGGGTCCGAAGAGCTGGCTGACCTGGGCGCACTGCGGGCTGAGATGGAGCGGGTGCTGGCCGAGCACAACCAGGCACCCGGTGCTGTGCCCCTACGCCTCGTGCTCTTCCGCGATGCCATTGAGCATAGTGAGCTAGGGGCAGGGCCCAAGCGGGCAGGGGGTGGGGCCTGGCATGGAGAAGGAGCAGGCAAGGGACCAGGGCCTGGGTGAGGGAAGTAGACAGTGGGCAATGAGGGGAGGTGCAGACATGGGTGGAATTAGAGGGGCTGGGCCAGGTGTGGAGCCATCCCTGGCCATGCCCCTCCCATCTCATTTGCCTCCCCCCTGCAGTCATGCGCATTGTGCGAGTCATTGGACAGCCACGGGGCAACCTGCTACTGGTAGGCATCGGGGGCAGCGGGCGCCAGAGTCTGGCGCGTCTCGCCTCCGCCCTATGCCAGTACTGCACCTTCCAAATCCAGCCTGCACGCCACTACCGGCGTCAGGACTTCCGCGATGGTGAGCCCTGCCCCCAGTGCCAGCCCTGTCCCCACTGCCAAGACCCGCATCCAGGCCTCACTCCCTCTGCCATGACCCGTGTCCAGGCCCTGCTGCCTCTGCCAAGGCCCGTATCCAGGCTCCTGCCCCCGGGTCCACCTGTTGTTCTGCTCCCAGCCCAGCCGCACCTCTGTCTTGGGCCCGCCCCTGGATCTGTCCTGGCCCCCCCCTGTTTTTCCCCCCGCTCCCAGCCATGCCTACATCTGTCTTGGCTTTGCCATTGGACCTATCCCCTGTCATATCGCCACCCTCTAACATGGCCCTTCTCTGCCTTGTCCTGTCTCTGCCCCTGGATTTACCCCCTATCCTGGCCCCACCCCTAGCCCCACCCACCTATCCTGGCCCCACCCCTAGCCCAGCGCACTTCTGACCTGGCTCCACCCCTGAACTTTCCCTCTGTCCTGGCCCCACCCCAGCCCCAGCCACCTCTTTCCTGGTCCTGGCCCAGTCCTGGTGCTACCCCCTTCCCTGTCCCTCATGAATGCTCTGATGTTCCCAATGGGGAGCCTCACCCCAGTGCTAGCCCAGCCACCTGCCCCTCCCTCCTGGCCCAGGCCCCGCCCCCCAACTGACATAGCCATGCCCCCACAGACCTGAAGCGGCTGTAGGGGCAGGCGGGCATGGAGCTGGTGCCCACCACTTTCCTCTTCACCGACTCGCAGGCGTCTGACGAGGCCTTTCTGGAGGATATCAACAGCCTGCTCAGCACTGGGGAGGTGCCCGCATTGTACCGGCCTGATGAGTGGGAGGAGGTGGGTACCCACTGCTCTGCCCCCCTCAGTATCCCTCCTGTGCCCCTCTGTCCACGCTCTGCTGGCCCAATGAGTGGGATGAGGTGCCCCCCCATACCCCCACCCATGCTTGACCAGCCCAACGAGTTGGACAAAGGTGGGTGCTCACTGTGCCCCCCAGTGCCCTCATGCCCCCCCTGGCCTGTGCTTCACCAGCCTGATGAGTGGAACAGGGTGGGTGTCCACCCTGCCTCAACCCCTACTCCCTCTGCCCTGGCCGTGCCCTCCGCTCCTAACCTTCAGCCTCCTGCCCCCCCTACCCGGCTGGTGCCCCTTACTCCCAACCCACAGCCCCCGCCCTGCTGGTGCCCCTCACTCCTGACCTACAGCCCCCTGCCCCTTTCACTTCCCTGCCTTGCCCCCTCAACAGATCCAGGCACTGCTCTTGAATGCAGCCAAGGCTGAGGGGGTCCCTGAGACACCCGACAGTCTCTTCGCCTTCCTCATTGAGCGGGTGCGCGACAACCTGCATGTGGTCCTGTGCCTCAGCCCTGTGGGCGAGCCCTTCCGGTGAGCGGGCTGCGGAGTGTGGGGCACCCACAGGGCTGTGGGGGGCAGGGGCTGCAGGTCAGGAATGAGGGGCACTGGTGGTTGGAAGTGAGGGGCCCTGGTGGGGCAGGGGACTGTGGGTCAGGAGTGAGGGGCACTGGTGCCCACCTTTGCCTCCGCCCCTGCAGGAACTGGATCCGGCAGTACCCTGCCCTGGTGAGCTGCACTACCATCGACTGGTTCTCGGAGTGGCCGTGCCAGGCGTTGCTTGAGGTAGCCGAGAAATACTTGGAGGGGGTTGACCTGGGGCTGCAGCCAGAGGTGAGTGAGCCGGACCCGGCAGCCCCCCACTGCCCCAACCCAGCTGGTGCCCCTCGCTCCTGACCCGTAGCCCCCTGCCCCACCCCCAGTCCTGCTGGTGCCCCTCCCTCCTGATCCGCAGCCCTCTACCTTCCCCCAGCCCTGCCAGTACCCCTCACTCCCAACCCGCTGCTCCCTGCCCCCTCCCCCCAGCCCTTCCAGTGCTCCAACCCCCGTGCCCGTGCTCTGCAGATGGCCCGGAAGGTGGCCCGGATCTTCACAGCCGTGCATGGCTCCGTGGCCACCTACTCCCAGAAGATGCTGGTGGAGATGCGGCGCTACAACTACGTCACCCCCAGCAGCTACCTGGAGTTGGTCTCGGGCTACAAGAAGTGAGGGGGCTGGGCTTCCCAGGGAGGGGTGGGGCTAGCCACGGGGTGGGCGGGGCCTGGCAGTGGGTGGATTGGCATAGAGGGGAGTGGCCATGGGGTCTGTGGGTCATGAGTGAGGGGCACTGGCAGGGCTCAAGGAGGGCAGGGGGCGGCGGGTGGGGAGTGAGGTGCACCAGCAGGGCTCAGGGCTCACTGTGGTCTTGTGTCCTGTTGGGAGGAGCCCCCCCCATGCATTCTGGGATACAGACCCCCTCCCCCACAGTTATGGGCAGAGGTGGGTCTGGTGCATCGTGGGAGATAGATTGTGTCTGGGATAGGAGGGCAACAGCTCCCGGACTACATTTCTCATGAGCCACTGGGGTGCCCACTCTGGAGCAGTGTCTCCTGGGAGGCCCAGTGCATCATGGAAGATGGGTTCTGGCTTCCCCTCCGCTCCTGTGAGCCTCCCGGCTTTCTGCTCCAGGGCACAGCTGACAGGAAGAGGGATGGGGATGGTTGGGCTGTGAGCGGAGCTTGCCTGGGAGGGCCCTCAACTTCCACAAGGCACCTGGGCACTGGCACTCCAGTGCATCATGGGAGATGCAGCTAAGAAATGACAACTCCCACAAGTTCTCTAGGCTTTCTCTGGATCAGGGCATCATGGAACATGGAGACCTAGCCCATGGCCTATGACTCCCACAATCCTCTGGGGGGTGCTCCAGTGCATCATGGGAGACCACCTCCCCTCCTGGGGCCTGTGGGCTTGCTCTGACCCCTTCCCATAGCCCCCCAGGCTCCCTCTAGAGCAGTGCATCACAGGACACAGGGGGCCAGCCCAGGGCCTATGACCCCCCCAGGGTGCCCCAGTCCATCATGGGAGATATCCTTGTGCCCCCCCCCCCCCCCCCAACCCCAGGCTGCTGGGTGAGAAGCGGCAGGAGCTGGGCCAGCAGGCTGGGCGGCTGCGCATGGGGTTGGCACGGATCGACGAGACACGCACCAAGGTGGAGGCCATGGGAGCAGAGCTGGCACACGCCAAGTGCCGCGTGGCTGAGGTGCAGCGCCAGTGCGAGGAGTACCTGGTGGTCATCGTGCAGCAGAAGCGTGAGGCCGACGAGCAGCAGAAGGTGCTGCCGGGCTGGGGTGGGGGACTGGGCAGTGCCGGCCTGGGTAGTGCCAATATTGGGCAGTCCTGGTAGTGCCAATATTGTGGGTTCTGGGCAGTGCCAGCCTGGGGGATTTAGGCAGTGCCAGCCTGGCAGGCCTGGGCACTACCCACCCCAGAGAAAGTACCAGGCCCCACTGACCCCTCCTTTCCCCCAGACGGTGACAGCCAACAGCGAGAAGATCGCGGCTGAGGAGGTGAAGTGCAAGGCGCTGGCCGACAATGCACAGAAGGACCTAGAGGAGGCGCTGCCGGCACTGGAGGAAGCCATGAAGGTGCCTGCAGGGAGGTGGGGGGAGGGGCTGGGGAGACCAGAGGCCCCGCCCCCACGCCCACCCCTTCTGCTGTGATAGGTCAGCCTCTGGGATGCCTAGGATAGACTGCCTCCTTCCAGCTGTGTCAGGCTCCGCTCCTCAGCTGTCAGGCCTGGCCCCAAGAGGCCACAGGCTCTGCCCCAATAGAAGTCACTGGCTCCGCCCCAGACCTAACAGGCTCACTCCTCCCCTTTTAGAAGTCACAAGCTCCACCTCTTTATCCTGCCACAGATTGCACCTCCAGAACTGATAGGCCCTGCCCCCTCAGCTCTCAGGCCTGACAGGCTCCATCCTTCTAGTGACTGCCTCACCCACCATTACAGGCTCTGCCCCTCCAAACCCCACCCCCTCAGCCAACAAACTCCACCCCTTCACTGACTCCACCTCCTCAACTATCACAGGCTCCACCCCTCCAGAGACTTCCTTCAGCCATTGCAGATTTTACCCCCTGCACAGACTCCTCCCCCTCAGCTATCACAGGCTCCACCTCCACAGACTCCACCCCCTTGGCCCCACCCCTTCCACCAACTCCGCCCCTTTAGCTGTCACAAGCTCCACTCCACAGATTCCACCCCCCTCATCTGTCACAGGTTACCCCCTCCAAACCCCACCCCTTCAGCTATCGCAGGCCCCACCCCCTCCCCAGACTCCACCCCTTTGGCCCCCACAAACTCGGTCCCCTGCCCTGCAGGCACTGGAGTCGCTGAACAAGAAGGACATGACAGAGATCAAGTCATACGGGCGCCCACCGGGGCTGGTGGAGACTGTCATGCAGGCCGTCATGATCCTGCGCGGCAGTGAGCCCAGCTGGGCTGAGGCCAAGCGCCAGCTCAGTGCGTGGGGGTGGAGCCCAGAGGGGGGTGGGGCTGTGGGGTGGGGGTGAGGAGAGGGTGAGGCTGGGGGCGGAGCCCTGGGGAGTGGGGGCGGTGCCTGGAGCAGGGCTGAGGGATGGGGGTGGAGCCTGCTGTGCTGAGGGATGGGGGACAGGGCCTGGAGGGGCTTGCAGGGCTGAGGGATGGGGGGTAGGGCCAGGAGGGGCAAGTCCTGCATATGTGGTTTCAAAGGGGGTTGGGCTGGGGGTTGAGGGCAGAGCTTGTGGCAGGGCCGGGGGGGGGAGGGGTTAGGGGCCAGCCCTGCAATGGAGGGGAGGGCCCTATAGTTTTTGCCCCCTGGCTCGGAGTCGGGTGGATAGAGTTAAGGAAGGGGTGTAGCCTGGGCCCAGGAGGTGCCTTAATCCTTGTGTGCCCAAGTTCCCTTGAACTCTGGCCCCAGGTGAGCCGACCTTCATCAAGCAGCTGATCCACTTTGACAAGGACAACATCTCAGACAAGGTGCTCAAGAAGATCGGGGGCTTTTGTGCCCAGCCCGACTTCCAGCCCGACATCGTGGGCCGCGTCTCGCTGGCCGCCAAGTCCCTCTGCATGTGGGTCCGCGCCATGGAGGTGGGTGGGGCTGGGGGACCCTGGACACCTGGGTTCTCTCTCTGTGCTGAGAGGGGAGTGGGAGAGTTGGGGCTCAGACACTTGGAAATGGAGTGGGTTCAGCTGGGACCTTGGATGCCTGGGTTCTCTCTTTGGGTTGGGAGGGGAGCGGTGCCTGGACACCTGGGTATGGGGCAGGGCAGGCAGGCAGCCAGACCCCCTGTATCTCCCCTGACAGATGTACGGGCGCATTTACCGTGTGGTGGAGCCCAAGCGTGCACGCATGAACGCAGCCACAGCCCAGCTTGCTGAGAAGCAGGCGTCACAGGCTGAAGCCCAGGCCAAGCTGCGCGAGGTTTGTGCATGGGGAGGGCAGGTGTCACTGCTGCTTGCTCATAGGTGGTCTCCCATCTGCATTCTGACCACAGTGGAACCTGCTTAGCACAGTAGGGGACAGGGCCTGCATTACCTGCCTCAGCTCCCCCCCCTCTGGCAGGCAGCTGCACTCCCCAAAGCTTGGTCTTCCATCCAGGTTCTGACACCACAGATTCACCTGCAGCGCCTGCTCTCCCTCCTGGCGGGTGCTGTCACCTGCTGGCAGTCTCCTATCCATGTCCTAACTGCAGCTGGGCCTGCTTAGCACAGTAGGGCACCTGGTGGCCACAAGGGGTCATTGCTGCTCCACAATGGATGGTCTGTCATCATGACGACCCTAGCAGGACCTGCTTGGCTTGCAGTACTTGCCATCAGCCTCCTATCCAACTCCCACCCACAGATACACCTGCTTAGCTTGCAGTTGTGGTTGGGATGCAGATGGGAGACTGCCAAGCAGATGGCAGCTTAGTCTTTCCTACCAGGGGCGGGTGCTGCCATCTGCTTGGCAGTCTCCCATCTGCATCCCAACCACAACCAAGCCTGCTTAGCGCAGCGGGGATAACTACAGGGCCCGGTCCCTGTGCCCTGACTGCAGCCCAGTCCCTGCACAGGTGGCAGAGAGGCTGGAGCGGCTGAAGCAGGAGTATGAGGAGAAGCTGGCACAGAAGGAGGAGCTGCGGGCGCGCTCCGAGGACATGGAGCTCAAGCTGGACCGGGCCGACAAGCTGGTGTCAGGGCTTGCGGGCGAGAAGGCCCGCTGGGAGGAGACCGTGCAGGTGGGCACTACCTCCCTGACACCCTGGGGTGCCAGCATAGCCCCTTGGGCACCTCCTGAGCTCCAGGCCTGCTTTGGCAGGGTGCCTGGGGGTGGGCATTGGGGGATGTCCGTGCCCCCGCACTGACCCCCAGCTGGGCAGGGCCTGGACGAGGACCTGGGCTATGTGGTGGGTGACTGCCTGCTGGCTGCTGCCTTCCTGTCCTACATGGGGCCCTTCCTCTCCAACTACCGCGACGAGATCGTCTCCCAGATCTGGATGAAGCAGGTTAGAGGGTCGGAGGTCACGAGGGCAGGAGTCACATGGTGCTCAAGGAGGGGCATGACATCATGGAGGGAGTGGGGCAGAGGGGTTGAGGTCATGGGGTAATGGGGTGCAGTGTCCTGGGGTTGGGTGGGGGTTATGGAGACTTGGAAACATGGGGTCATAGGGGTCATGGAGTCATGGGCCAGGGTCTTGAGGTCATGGGGGCTGGGGATCATGGGGTCATTGGAGTCATGGACTGGGGGTCATGGGGTTACGGGCAGGGTCCTAGGGGCCATGGGGGTTTTGGGTCATGGAGATGGGGTCATAGGTCACATGGATCACGGGGATGGGATCATTGGGTTGTTGGAGTTGGACTGGGTGTCACAGGGCTTTGGAGTCATGGACTGGGGTCAGGGGTCACTGGCTAGGGGTCATAAGGTCATAGGGGTGGGGTGCAATACATGGGCTGGGGGGGTCACAGTCCTGGTTCCCAGGGACTAAAAGTCAGAGGACCTATGGGGGCACAAGAGCAGGTCTTGGAAGCATGAGGTCACAGGAGCTGTGGGTCATAGGTTGGGGGTCACAGGGGCAAGGGATCAGTGCACCTCACAGGCTCGGGGGGGGACATGGGCTCATATAGGGACACAAAGCCAGGGGTAGGTCACAGGGGTCAGGGGCTAGAGGTCAGAGGAGCAGGGGGCAGGGCTCAAGGGGTCACAAGGGCAGGGGTCACAGGTCAAGGAGGTGCCAGGCCCTGCCCAGATGTGGGGGGAGCCCCCTGCTGGCACACCCTGCCCTGTCTCCCCTGGGCCAGATCCTGCCTGGGGCCCAATCCTGAGACCTGGGGGCGTTCCCTGCCCCCGGGGGTGCTGGTGGGGGTGGGGTGCCCCAGGGGGACTGGGCACCTGCTCACAGGCTGCCTAACAGATCCGGGAGGAGCAGGTGCCCTGCTCGCCACGCTTCTCACTGCCTGGCTTCCTGGCCACCCCACCGACAGTGCGGACCTGGACGCTGCAGGGGCTGCCCTCTGATGCCTTCTCCACCGAGAATGGGCTCATCGTCACCCGTGGCACCCGGTGAGGGGTGGGGCAGAGGCAGCCAGCTCTAGGGTGGGTGCAGCTGGGCATACCAGGGACCTCTTGCTTGCCACTGAGAAGCAACCTGCTCTGAGGTGGAGCGTGGCTGCATATAACAGAGACCTGTAATTCAGCAGAGATGCAGCCAGCTCTGGGGATGGGAGCATCTAGGGGACCTGTTGCTCAGCAAGCTCTCGGGTTGGTCACATCTGGGTATAACAGGGATCCCTCAGCACTGAGATGTAGCCAGTTCTGGGGTGAACTATGGCTGCATATAACAGGGTCCTGTAGCTCAGTAGAAATGCAGCCAGCTCTGGGGTGGGTCATGGCTGGGTAGAATAGAGCCCCTGCCAGGGCTGGCCATGCATGCAGCTCTGGGGAGGGGGCTGTGGGACCCCCAGATGTGGGAGGCTCCATCCCACATGTGACCTCTTGCCCCTGGCGCCAGGTGGCCACTCATGATTGACCCCCAGGGCCAGGCCTCCAAGTGGATCAAGAACATGGAGGCAGACAAGGTACTGGGGCAAGGGTCAGAGGTTATGGGGTCGGGGGGCAAGGATAGGGTGGGGAGGGGGGCACTGGGGCACCCAGAGGTATGGGTTCATGGCAGTATTGGAGGATTAGGGGGTATATGGGATTGGGGCACTGGGTAGGGGGTGGTCAGGAGGGCACTGAGTGGGGGTCAGGGTGGCACTGGGAGTCGGGGTATCGGGTCACAGGGTATGGGGTTGGGGCACTGGGTAGGGGTTGGAGCACTGGGGGATCAGGGTGGCACTGTGGGGGTATGGGGTCAAACAACACTGGGGGGTCAGAGCACTAGGTTGGGGGTCAGGATGACACCATGGGGGTTGGTGTATGGGGTCACAAGGTATGGGATTGGGGTACTGGGGGGTTAGGGTGGCACTGTAAGATCAGGGGGCACTGGATGGGGTCAGAGGGCTCTAGATGGGGGGTCAGGGTAGCACTGGGGATAGGGGTATGGGGTCACAAGGTATGGGGCTGGGGAATTGTGGGGAGGTCAGGGTGGCACTGTAGGGGTATGAGGTCATAGGGTATGGGCTCGGGGCCCTGGGTGGGGGTTAGAGGGCACTGGGTGGGGGTCAAGGGGCATTGGGGGGTGAGGGTATATGGAGTCAGGGGCCACTGGGCAGGGCATGGAAGTCAATCCACTCTCCTATGCCCCCCACACCCAGCTGGGGCCCTGAGCTGCCCAGAGCCCCGCCCCCTGGCAGCAGGCCCCGCCCCAAGCCCCTCCACTCTACCCCCAGGGCCTGCGTATCCTGGATCTGCAGGGCGACTACCTGGGGGCGCTGGCGGGGGCTGTGCAACAGGGGGTGCCAGTGCTGATCCATGACCTGCAGGAGCAGCTCGACCCTGCGCTCACACCCCTGCTGGGCCGTGCTGTCACCAGAGTGGGTGCGTGCCCGGATGCCCGGGTCCCCTCCTGGGGCCAGACGCCTGGGTTCCCTTCCAGGGCACCCAGACACCTGGGGGCCTGCACACCTGGGTTCCCTCTTGGGATCAGGATGCCCAGATGCCTGGGGTCCCTCCCAGGGGCCCAGACACATGGATTCCCTCCAGGCTGCCTGGAAGCCTGGGTTCCCTCCTGGGATCGGGGCACCCAGACACCTGGGTTCCCTCACCTCTGTGGGGGGCTTGGACGCCTGGGTCTGCCGGCTGACGTGGCCTTTGGCAGGTGGCCGGCTGCTGCTGCGCCTGGGGGACCGGGAGGTGGAGTACAGCCCTGCCTTCCGCCTCTACCTCACCACCAAGCTGTCCAACCCACAAACAGGAGGGGATGGGGCCGGCCTGGGAGGGGCGGAGCTAACTTGAGTAGGGGTGCAGCTAACACAGGGGGCAGAGCTAATATGGGCAGGGGGTGAAGCTAATATGGGGTGGGGGACTAACAGGGGTAGGCTGGAGCTGACCCAGACACTGGGTAGGGCCTCATACAGGAAGGGCTAATACAGGTGGGGCTAATTTGGGGACGGGGTTAACCTGAGGGGGGTGGGTCTAACACTGGCAAGGGGAAGGCGGCATGGCTAACATGGGGAGGGGGCAGGGCTTCCTCAGTGATGGGGCTGTCTTGTGGAGGGGTCAGGGCTAATAGAGAAAGAAGGTCAATATAGGGAGGGGTGGGGCAAGAGGGCTACTAAAGGGAGGGGTGGAGCTAATCCAAGCTGTTGGTAGGGCTAATGGGGAGGGACGGGGCCTCCCACAGGGCCTGGAAGCACAGTTGCTGGGAATTGTGGTACGCAAGGAGCGCCCAGAGCTGGAGGAGCAGAAGGACACGTTGGTGCTCAACATCGCGGCCGGCAAGAGGCGGCTGCAGGAGCTGGAGGATGAGATCCTCAGGTGGGGATGTGTCCACCTCTGGAGTGGGCCCTGGCTGGGTGTAACAGGGACCCCCTGGACCATAGGGAGATGCAGCCAGCTCTTGGGTGGGCCCTGATCCCCCGCTCACATCCTCCCTTCGCCCCCCACAGGCTGCTGAACGAGGCAACAGGGTCACTGCTGGACGACTTGCAGCTGGTGACGACCCTGCAGAGCTCCAAGGTGACGGCCAGTGAGGTCAGTGACCAACTGGCCACCAGCGAGGCCACAGAGGCCAAGATCGATGCTGCTCGCGAGGTGAGGGGGTGGGGCTGAGCCTGGCTGCACCCTTGAGAATGAGGGGAGGGGCTGAGCCTGGGTCCACCCTTGAGAATGAGGGGAGGGGCTGGGCTGGGGCCTGATGGGGAGGGGCTATTTATGGATGACTCCACCCTCTGGGACAATGAGGAGAGGGGCTGGCTCCACCCTGAACTTGAAGGTAAGTCTGGGCTTCATCCCCTAAGATGAGGGGGTAGTGGTGGCTCCCCTTTGTTAGAGTCTGAGAGGAGGGGCTGGGCCTGGCTCTACCCCCAGGAGCCCCAGAGGGAAGAGCTATGCCTGGTCCTGCCTGAGGGGGAGGGGAGGAGCTGGCAATGGCCCCATGCCCAGTGTCCTAGGGGTAGGGGCCAGGTCTGGCTTCACCCCCTGGGACCATGGGGGCCTGACATGTGTGTGCCCCCCCAGGCGTACCGGCCATGCGCCCAGCGGGCAGCCGTGCTCTTCTTTGTGCTGATGGACATGGGGCGCATTGACCCCATGTACCAGTTCTCGCTGGATGCCTATGTGGAGCTCTTCACCCTCAGCATTGCCCGCAGCCCCCGCGGTGCCCGCCTGGACGAGCGCATCCGCTGTCTCAATGACCACCACACCTACGCCGTCTACAGGTGCCCTCTGTAGCCCCCTCTACCTCTCCTACACTGTCTGCAGGTCCTGCCGCCGCTTGTACCACCCTGTGGCCCCTTGCACCTCCCCTGTACCTTCTGCACATCCTGTTGCCACCTTTACCCCCCATCGTCCCTGCACCTCTCCTAAACTGTCTGCAGGTCCCACCACTACCTGTACCATCCCGTGGCCCACCGCACCTCCCCTACACCTTCTGCACATCCCGCCACCCCTACACTTGTCTGCAGGCCCTGAAACCACCTGTACCCCTCCACAGCCCCCCACACCTTCCTTACACTGTCTGCAGGTCCTGCTGCTGCCTATACCCCCTACAACTGTCCGTGCTACATCTATGCCACCTGCAGGAAGCCCAGAGCTGCTGCCTGTACAGCCTGAACCCTCTACAGCCCCCTGCACTGCCACACCACGCCTATGCTGTCTATGTGTACTGTGTATCTATGTGTCTGTGTACTGTGGTATCACTGCCTGTGCCCCCCAAGGTTCCACTAAACCACATCTACACCATCTGGAAGCACCACAATACCACTGCCTGTACCCCTATGTGGCCCCATTCACCCCACCTGTGCTGTCTACAGGTACTGTGGAATTGTCACCTATACCCCTTACAGCCCTCCGTACAATCTAACCCCACGCCAAGTGCTGCCACCTGTACTCCCTACATCCCCACATCCCCATGCCACATCTATACTGTGTATAGGTGACATCATCTGTACCCCCTGCACTCCCACAACACATTTATACTGTGTACAAGTGCTGCTGCCTGTATCCCCTACATTCCCACACCTCACCTACACTCTGTTCAGGTGCCACCTGTACCACCTACACCCCAATACCACACATGTACAGGTGCCACAGTACTCCTGGCTGTGCCCCCTACCCCCACAACAAACCTATGCTGTCCACATGTACCGCTGCTTATAAGCCCTACAGTTTTTGCACCCCTGTACACACCACTCCATACCTGCATAGTGTGCATTCTATGCACGCAGACTGCACCTACACCAGCTATATAGGTAGGTACTGCTACCTTTATCACATACACCCCCCTACCATGCACAAGTACCACCATGCGGCTGCTGCCCTCCATACAGTGCACACCTACACCATATGCAGCTACAGCCTGAGGAGTGACGCCCTCCACACACACCCCTCCCATCTTTCTTCCGTACAGTGCCCAGTGTCTGCTACCTCTGATACACAGACACCCATCCCTCACAACACCCTGCTGGCTGGGGGTACCTGCAAGCTGGTGCCAGCCACCCCCTTTACCTCTAGTGACCCCACAATGAGCCTTTGACCTTTGCTGCTGCCTGGTGACTTCTGGTAATCCCAGTGACCCCTTGCCCTTTGGTGAACCTGCTGATTCCTGACTCTTACTGTGCTTTGGTGACTCCTGATCCCTCCCAGCGACCCCTAGCCCTTTGTTCCCTAAGTGACCTCCGACCCCCGATAACCCTCCAGGGATGCCTAAATCTAGGTGCCCCCACTAATCCCTGATCCTTAGTGCTCCTTGGTGACTCCTGTCTCAGTGACACCCCAGCAACCCCTGAATCTTAATGCCCTCCTGGTGACTATTACTACCCTGAGTGACCTTTGCCCCCTGTGACCTATGCCCCCAGGTACGCCTGCCGCGGGCTCTTTGAGTGCCACAAGCTGCTCTTTAGCTTCCACATGTGTGCCAAGATCCTGGAGGTGGCTGGGAGCCTCCACACGGATGAGTACAGCTTCTTCTTGCGCGGGGGCGTGGTGAGCGGGGCTGTGGGTCAGGAGTGAGGAGCACGTGGGGGTCAGGAGCCTGCAGTTTGGGAGTGAGGCACACTGGCAGGGCTGAGGGAGGGGCAGGGGCTGCAGGTTGGGAGTGAGGGGCACCGGCAGGGCCCAGGGGGGGCAGAGGGCTTTGGGTTGGGAGTGAAGGGCACCGGCAAGGCCCGGGGGGGGCGGCAGAGGGCTTTGGGTCGGAAGTGAGGGGCCCAGGGCAGCCATGACGGGTGCGGACATGGGCACAGGTGCTAGACCGTGAGGGGCAGATGGACAACCCGTGCCCATCCTGGCTGCCCGATGCCTACTGGGACAATGTGACAGAGCTGGACAAGTTGCCGAGCTTCCATGGCATCATGAACTCCTTCGAGCAGCACCCACGTGACTGGCATCTCTGGTACAGCAGTGCCCGGCCTGAGCGGGCCCTGTTGCCAGGTGCGCCTAGATGCCTGGGTTCCTTTGTGGGGAGGGGGAGAGGGGAAGCTTGCATGCCTGGGTTCCCCCAGTCCCGGGAAGGCCAAGCGGGCCCACATCCCTGGGTCCTGCAGGGGCAGGACCATGGCTGACCCCGCCCCCTGTGCAGGGGAGTGGGAGAACGCGTGCGGGCAGCTGCAGCGGATGTTGGTGGTGCGGGCGCTGCGCCCTGACCGCATGGGGCTCTGCGTCAGTGCCTTCGTCGTCTCCCATCTGGGCTCTGCCTTTGTCGAGCCACCTGTGCTCTCCATGAAGGCCGTGAGTGGGGTGGGGCTTGCGGGGCTTCTTGGGGTGGGGGTGGGGCATGTGGGGTCTGGGCCGGGGCCTGCCACGATGGAGGTGGGGCTTACAGCACCTAGAGGTGTGGCCTGCCAGAATAGGGTGGGACTGGCAGGCATGTTGAGGGCAGGTTTTATAAAACCTGGCGGTGTGGTCTACCAGGTAGGTTGGGTCTGGCGGGTATGTGTGGGGGGGTGGGCTTACAGGGCATAGGGATGTGGCCCACCAGGACGGGGTGGGGCTGGCAGGCATGTGGGAGGCAGGGATTTCAGGGCTGACAGGTGTGGCCTATCAGGATGCGGGGGGAGGACTGGCAACTGTCTGAGGTGGAACTTCGCAATGTGGGGGGAAGTTTACAGGGCCTGGGGGTGTGACCTGCCAGGATGCGGTGGTGCTGGCAGGCATGTATGGGGTGGGGCTTATAAAACTTGAGAGTGTGGCCTACCAGGATGGCATGGGGCTGGCAGCCATGTGAGGTGGGGCTTCTCAGTGTAGGGGGAAGTTTACAGGGCCTGGGGGTGTGACCTGCCAGGATGGGTGGGGCTAGCAGCCATGTGGGGCAGGGCCTCCCAGCATGGGGGCAGGGCTCACAAGGCCTGGGGGTGTGGCCTATCAGGATGGGGTGTAGCTGGCAGGCACAGAGGGGGGTGGGACTTAGGGTCTAGGGATGTGGCCTAACTGGGTGGGGCTGGGGGTGGAGCTGGCATCCATGGGTGGGACTTACCAGGCCCGGGGGCATGGCCCAGCAGCGAGTGCTGCAGCCCTGCCCCCGGCCCACCCTCAGGTGTTGGAAGACTCGTTGCCACGGACGCCACTGGTGTTTGTGCTGTCGCCCGGCGTGGACCCGGCGCCAGGGCTGCTACAGCTGGCGGAGCAGGCGGGCATGGCCCTGCGCCTGCACGCCCTCTCACTGGGCCAGGGCCAGGCCCCCATCGCCACCCGCATGATCCAGGAGGGCATGCGCCACGGTGAGGCTCACACACGCACATGTGCTGGTGACACACGTGTATGGGCATGCGCAGATGCACCCAGCACTCTTATGCATACATACACACCAATATGTGTGCATACGTGTATACCTATGTATATACATGTACACGTATATACACACATACAGACATATGCACATGTATAATGTATTTACACACTTCCAGGCACGCAGCTGTAGAGACCTAGCTCGGCATGTAAATACAACGCCCTTACGTACACGCAGTTGCACCCACATGGTTCTTACCCCTGGGCACACCATTGGGCATACACAGCCATAGTGACCTAGTTGGGCACACACCCTCCACACCCCCACCCCACCCCCGTACACAGTTGCACACACGTGGTCAATATCCCTGGGCATGTACAACCACACATTTCCGATACTCTTGAACACGTGTACAGCCCTAACCAGTTAGCTGTACATATGCACACACAACACTGCCACCCCCTCAAAGTACACACAACCTCTGTGTGCGCACATACACACACACACACAACACCCCCCGGGCGCGCACAGCCACACATGCAACAGCCCTGGCTCCATGCTGAGCCACACATACAAAGACCCAGCCGATGTCTTGGCATACGTGGCTGCGCATAGCTACACACATGATACCCTGGGCGCACACAGCCACACACGCAAGGGGCCTAGTTACACACAGCCACACTGAGACAGGGCTGGGGGCATGGGTGGAGGGAGCAGTGCCTGGGTGGCCCAGGCAGGTGAGGGTTGTTAGAAGCCTGGCTAACTATGGGCATGGGTTACTGGGGACCCAGAGGTGTGGGTTGCTAGAGGCAACCTGGGTTACCATGGGCATGGGTTGCTGCTGACCTAGGTGTGCAGGTTGCTAAGGGTTTGTGGGAGTGAGTTGCCAGGAGAAACAGGCATGGGTTGCTAGAAGCCTGGCTATGGGCATGGGCTGCTGGGGACCCAGGGGTGTGAGTTGCCAGGAGGCTGTGGGGGGCAGGTTGCCAGGGGAAATGGGCATGGGTTGCTAGGGGCAACCTGGCTTACCATGGGCACAGGTTGCTAGGACACTGTGGGTCTGGAAAGGGTCCCCTGGGACCTGGAGGTCCACAGGACCCATGTGGACCATCTGGGCATCCTGCAGGGAGCTGGGTGTTCCTCGCCAACTGCCACCTGTCACTATCGTGGATGCCACAGCTGGCAAAGCTGGTGGAGCAGCTGGCAGCCGAGGACCCGCACCCTGACTTCCGCCTGTGGCTCAGCTCCAGCCCCCATCCTGGCTTCCCCGTTTCTGTGCTGCAGGCTGCCATCAAGGTCACCACTGAGCCACCCACGGTGAGCTGGTGCGGGGGTGGGAAGGGCGGGCACCGCTTGGAGAGGGGAGGGGGACAGTGCCCGCGCTGACCCGATACCCCCTGTTGTTTGCCCCACAGGGCCTGAAGGCCAACATGACGCGCCTGTACCAGCTAGTGACGGAGCCGCAGTTTGGGCGCTGCAGCCGCCCGGCACGCTACAAGAAGCTGCTCTTCGCCCTCTGCTTCTTCCACAGCCTCCTGCTGGAGCGGCGCCAGTTCCTGCAGCTGGGCTGGAATGTCATCTATGGCTTCAATGACTCCGACTTCGAGGTAGGCGTAGCGGGCACATGCTAAGTGCCACACGGTGTGCACATGGGAGGCGCTACAGGCCTGGGGACAGGCTATGTGCTATAGAGCAGGCACATGGGAGGTGCTACGGACCTGGCACGTGCAATATGTCAGGGTCATGTGAGGTGTTACATGCTTGGAACATGCTGCATGCTATGTGGAAGGCATGTGTGAGCTGTTACATGTCTGGGAACATGCTACATGCTAGACAACAGGCACATATGAAGTGTTACATGCCTGGTACATGCTATATGTCAGGCACATTGGAGATGCTACGGGCCTGGGGATATACTACACATATGGCAGGCACATGTGAGATGACTAGACATTAGGAAGAACTTCTTCACAGTTCGAGTGGCCAAGGTCTGGAACAGGCTCCCAAGGGAGGTGGTGCTCTCCCCTACCCTGGGGGTCTTCAAGAGGAGGTTAGATAAGTATCTAGCTGGGGTCATCTAGACCCAGCACTCTCTCCTGCCTATGCAGGGGTTTGGACTCGATGATCTATTGAGGTCCCTTCCGACCCTAACATCTATGAATCTATGATTCGGGCCTGGGAACATGCTATGCTATATGGCAGGCACATGTTAGATGATATGTGTCTGGGAACATGCTACATGCTATACATTAGGCACATGTGAGGTGTTCCATGCCTGGTACATGCTACATGTCAGACGCATGTGAAATGCCACATGCCTGGGGACATGATACATGCTAGACAGGCACATGAGAAATGCTTTGCATTTGGGGGACACGTTACATGCCACACTACACGCTTGGGGACATGTTGTGTGCCAGATATATGCTATGTATCTAGGGACATGCCACATGCTAGGCACACACCTTATGCCATGTTGCAGGCTACACACCAGGAACGTTACATGCTGTACGACTGGGGATACATGCCTGACACCACATCCTTCACACCTGGGGATGCGGTACATGTTTAGGGATACAATACGTACTACATACCAGGTGCACATCACACACTACATGCCTGGGCACACATTATACACGATACACCTTAGCACATGTCCCACACAAGGCATGTGTTACATACCAGGTGTGTTACACACAAAATGTCTTGGCACAGGTTACACTGTACATGCGTGCATACAGGCTATACGTGCAGGCACACAATCCATGTGTGGGCACACGCTGCATAGCAGGCAGATGGCACACACCAGGGCACATGCTGCACACGAGGCAAATGCCACACGTGCACACCTCAGATGCACTTCACATGCAATGTGCTGGGTATATGCTATGTTACACAACAGAGCCTGGGCACAACAGGCCTGGGCACATGCACAACAGGCCTGGGCACACGCAATAGCCACCCCCACGGTGCAGGATCCTAATGCTCTTGGCTCTGGGGCCCTAACCCGGGGGGTGGGTCTCAACCAGTGCTCTGTCCTCAGGTGCTCCCAGCCTACGCAGCCCAAGACAACATTCCCTGCCTTAGTTTCCCCCTCTCTGCCTCAGTTTCTCTCTTGTCCTTGTTTCCTCTCCCACCTCAGTGCTGTCCTGCCTTATTGCTTTTCCATCCCACCTCGGTTTCCCTTGCTCTGCCTCAGTTCCCCTCACCTCAGTTTCCTGCCTCAGTTTCCCCTCCCTGCCTCAGTTTCCCCTTCTCTTAGTTTCCCTTCCTCTGCCTTAGTTTCCCCATCTCAGTTTCTCCTCCTTTGTTTCAGTTTCCCCCCTTGTCCCTGTTTCCCCCCCATCTTAGTTCCCTTCTGCCTCATTGCTTTCCCTTCCTCTGCCTCAGTTTCCCTCTTCTCTCTTAGTTTCCTCCCAGTCTCAGTCCCCCCCACCCCCTGCCTCAGTTTCCCCCCTTATTCCTCCACCTGAGATCAGGGTCCCCAGGTTGGGGTGGGGGCAGAGGAATCCCCGCAGGGGGCAGGTCCTGCTATGACCCTCCCCCCCCTCCCCTGCCAGGTGTCAGAGAACCTGCTGAGCCTCTACCTAGATGAGTATGAGGAGACGCCATGGGAGGCACTGCGCTACCTCATCGCGGGTGTCAACTATGGTGGTCACGTGACAGACAACTGGGACCGGCGCCTCCTGCTAGCCTACAGCAGTGACTGCTTCTGCGAGCAGGCCTTAGCCACGCCCTTCTACAAGTAATGGGCTGGGACTTCTCAGGGGGCACTGGGCTTCCTGGGGAGGCGGGGCTGCTCTTCCTCCCCCACCCCACCTCACCTCAATTGACTATGTGCAGTTCTCCAGGTGTGCTCCCCCATCCTTTGGGTGACAGGGTGCTCTTAGGAGAGGGGGCAGGGCTATCTGGGGTGGGTGGGGCTTAGTTCCTGCCATGTGCCTACACCCGTTCTAGGTTCTAGTGGGGAGATAATATGAAACGGGCGAGATGGATCTGACTGCTTCTGCCCAGGGGATGGGGCTACACAGGGGTGGGGCCTGCCCAAGCCACGCCCCCTACGGATCCAAGGGGGCAGAGCCAGCTGAGCCCCAATGGCTGTACACTGCTTTCATCTTGGCCATGCCCCACTGTGGATCCAGGGGGCGGGACCTGCAGAGCCTCCACCAACTGTGGTGTTCTCATTAGGCATGCCCCTATGGATCCAGGGGGAGGGTAATCCAGGGGGCGGGGCCTGCTAGTCCACCACCTGTGGCGCTCTGATTGGCCACAACTCATGGATCCAGGGGCCTTCTGGGCCTCCACCACTCTCATCATGGCCACAGCCCCTAAGGTGAGGTCCATTGAGCCTGGCCCTACCTCCAGCAGCCCAGGGGGGGCATGGCTAAGATGGGGAGGGGGTGGGGCCAGCTGACGCTGCACCCCCGCGGCAGGCTGTCAGCGCTGGACACCTACTACATCCCGAAGGACGGGGACCTGGCATCATACCGGGAACACATCAGCATGCTGCCGGCCCGCGACCCGCCGGGCGCCTTCGGGCAGCACACCAATGCTGCTGCTGCCGCTGCCGTCAGCACTGCCCGCGCCCTGCTTGACACCCTGCTGGTCTTGCAGCCCCAACGCCCACCCAGCCCTGCCGCCCAGAGCCGTGAGGACAAGGTGCGATCTACCTGGGGACGTCAAGTTGGGGTCTGGCAGGGTCAGCCTTGCCTGGCCCAAGCCGGGGGTTGGGAGGCAGGTGGTGGGGTCGTGACCCCCTTGGCTGCCCCCCCACAGGTGCTGGAGCTGGCGGGTGACGTGCTGGCACGGGTACCCACTGAGTTGGACCTTGTGGGTGCCCACCAGGTGCTAGCCGACGACCCCTCGCCCCTCACTGTGGTACTGCTGCAGGAGATGCAGCGCTACAATGCCCTGCTGCGCGTTGTCAGGTCTGGCCTGGGACACCTGGGTTCTCTCCTCACTCAGGAGCAGGGTGGGAGCTCGGATGCCTGGGTTCTGTGCCCGCTGTGGGGGGGTAAGGGATGCTGGGAGCACCCAGACACTTGGGTCCTCTCCCTGAGTGAGCTGGACCCCCCATCCTGATTTCCTGTCCTGCTTGGGACGGGTGTGAGGGGGAGGCTGGTGGGTGTTGGATGCTGGTGGGCAGGCATTCCTAGAGCCCCTCCCTCTCTGACCCCACCCCTGCCCCAGGTCCTCATTGGTGGAACTAGAGAAGGGCATCCAGGGCCTGGTGGTGATGTCGACCACACTGGAGGAGATCTTCAACTGCATCCATGACGCCCGCGTGCCCCCCCTCTGGGAGCGGGTGAGATATCCACCCCCGGCCCAGGCACCTGGGTTCTCTCCAATCCTGGGTGGGCAGGGAGGTCTAGGTGTTAGAGCTGGGGCCGGGCAGCTGCAAAGCCTGGACACCTGGGTTCTTTCCCTGCTCCGGCCAGGATTGTGGGCTGCACTAGAGCTCCCAGCAGGTATGATTGGGGTAGGGGGAGGCAGAGGTCCCACATACCTATTTCCCCTCCTCTTCCCACCCTGTCCCCAGGCCTACCCATCACTGAAGCCGCTGGGGTCCTGGACGCGGGACCTGGGGCAGCGAGTGGAGCAGTTGGCCCGTTGGGCTGAGACCGCCCACCCCCCAGTGCTCTTCTGGCTTGGTGGCTTCACCTTCCCCACTGGCTTTCTGACTGCTGTGCTGCAGGGCGCTGCCCGCCAGAGCAAGGTGCGCTGACGCCTGGGTCCCGCTGGGTGGAGGGAGCCAAAGCAGGCCCGGACACCTGGGCTCTGGATATCTATGGGGGCTGGGTGTAGAACCAGGGCGGGCCCGGATGCCCCAGGGGCAGGCAGGGGGCCACAGGCAGCAAAGTGGGCACCACCCAGACACCTGGGTCCTGTGGCATGCCCTGCTGCCACCCTCAGGTGGCTGTGGACTCACTGTCCTGGGAGTTCATCGTCTCCACCGTGGATGACAGCAACTTGGTCTACCCGCCCAAGGTGGGTGCTGGCCCCACCCCTGACTCCCCTCTAGCTCCACCTATCCCTGAGTCACCACCCCTGATTGTACCCGTCCCAGCCCTGCTCCTGACTCTGCCCTGGCCCTCTCCAGCCCTGCCCCTGTCCCTGAAGCCCCAGCCCTGCCCCGATTCCAGGCCTTCCTGTCCCTGCAGCCATGCCCCCACCCCAGCCCCCTCCAGCCGCGCCCCTGGTTCCATGGCCTCCAGCTCTATTCCTGAAACCCTGACTCCAGCCCCACCCCTATCTCTGGAGGCCCGCCTCCTAGCCCCCTCCAACCCTGCCCCAGCCCTAAAGCCCCGCCTCTAACTGCCCCAGTTTTTTACAGCCCTGCCCCATGTCCTTGAAGCCCCTGCCCTGCCTCCTGGTTCCACTGGCCCTGCCCCTGATTCCAGCCCCACTCCAACTCTGCCCCCTTATCTCCAGGCCTGCCTCTATCCCTGGAGACCCATCTCCTAGTCCCCTACAGCCTTACCCTTTGTCCCTGGAGCCCCGCCCCTGATTCTGTCTCTGACCCCTGCTTCCATGTAGCCCTGCCCCTATCCCTGGAGGTCCACCCCCTAGTCCCCTCCAACCCTGCCCCTATTCCTCCAGCCCTGCTCCCTGGCCATGCCCCTGATGCCAGCCTGTCTCACAGGAGGGTGTGTGGGTTCGAGGGCTGTTCCTGGAGGGTGCGGGCTGGGACCGGCGCAACTCGTGCCTGGCGGAGGCAGCACCCATGCAGCTGGTCTGCGCCCTGCCCAGTGTGCACTTCCGGCCAGTCGAGAGCCGGAAGAAGGCAGGCAGAGGTGAACAGGGCGGGGCACAAGGAGGTGGAGCCTGGGCGGGGTCTAGCAGGGAACACATGGGGGCATACCCTGGGGATGGGGTCTAGCGTGGGGAGGGCAGAGGCAGGGCGGAGTAAGGGCAGGTGAGGGCACATCAGGGGGCGGGGTCTAGCATGGGGGCGGAGTCGGGGCAGGTGAGAGGCATATGGGGGTGAAGGTGGGACCCTGCATGGCCCGGCGTGGGGGCGGGGTAAGGTCCAGTTGGGGCAGGGTCACCTGGGGGCGGGACCTGACCCCGCCCCCCCCCCAGGCTTCTACTCGTGCCCGCTGTACGTGTGCCCGCGCCGCGCCGCCGGGTTTGTGCTGACGCTGGATCTGCGCGCGGGTGCGGCGGCCCCCGAAACCTGGGCCAAGCGCGGCGCCGCGGCCCTGCTCAGCCTCGACGTGTAGCGCCGCCCCCAATAAACCGCTGACCGTGCCCTCGCCGCCTCCTGCCTCAGTTTCCCCGCCCCCAGGGAGGGATCTGGGGGGCGGGGTCCGGCGGGATCCGGTGCGGCGCAGGCAGCAGCGGCCCCCAACCTGCCCATGGGGCCCGGGTGCAGGCCCGGGCCCGGGCCCGGGCCCGCGGGGCGCGAACCCACAACCGGACACAGGTAGGGGAGGAAGGGGAAAGAGGGGCGGTCTTGGTGTCGCAGTTCGCCGCCGAGTTTGGCCCCGCCCCCAAAAGCTAAGCTCCGCCCACGTGTGGAGCCCTGTCCCCTCGGCACCACAGGGCGCCCCGGCCCCCGGGTCTAGGCTCCGACCCACAACACGTGGAACCACTCGCACCTCGGTGCCTAGGCCCCGCCCACCAGTTAGCACCCAGCCCCCTTGGCCTCGCCCCGACCCCGCCTGGAGCCCCGCCCTTCCACGCCTAGACCCCGCAAGCATAGGTTTTCCGCCGGGCTCCGAAGTTGCCCTATATGGCTCCGCGGTAGCGTAGCCAATCAGTGCTCCGGCCGTGCCACAATATTAACATACTACGCTGGGACTGGCTGCTACGGGTTGGGGGTGGTGGAGAAGCGGAGAGACAGCCGCGCATCTGGAAGGAGGAGCCCGCTCCCTCTACCTGGGCCTAAGCCCCGCCCCCATAGCTGGAGCCACAGCAGGGCCCCACGGCCGCCTCGTCCCCACCCCTGGCGCCCCTCACTCCCGACCCGCAGCCCCCGGCCCGCTTTTGGAGGCTAGGCCACGCCTAGTGGGCGGGGCGTGGGCCAGGATTTTTCTTGGGAAGGCTCAATGAGCTTCGCCGGCGCTGGTGTCGTCACGGCGCTGGCAGCCAATGGCGGGATTCGGCCGGGCCCTGTTGCTGGGAGCTGCACGTGCAGGTTGGCACGTCTGGAGGATGCGCAAGTGGGGGGGGGGGGGTCGTGCCCTGACATGGCTGCACACACGTGACCATGGCCCAGCGACACGTGTGCACCTGGGCCCTCCCCCTAGGCTGGGCCCAGGGTTTATGCAGGCACCATCACACCAAGGCATGCATGCACATGGGCCAACCAACTAGGTTACAACAGGCCAAACCTGCCACACTTACACATGCCCTGCCCTCCCCTGCATCTGCGGTGAGTACACCTGGACCGTTGCATACGCAGTGTCGCACACTCTTCTACTTAGGAGGGTCCTGGACACACGTGTTGGGTGTGTGTTTGGCACATGGGATGCACGTGCATGTGTGACGGGCTTGCCTGACACAGGCCGTGCCAGTACATGCTCCAGCTGTGCTGGAGTGTATGCTGCACACGGCATCGCAGGAAAGACCGGGCTGGCGCACACTAGTGCATGTGCCTGCACTGAGTTGCAGCATGGACGGGTGCACGCACACGCATGGCGACACAGGTTTCTGGGCCATGCCAGGGGCAGTAATGCTGTGCTCACCCCCCAACAGCGACTGCCACCGCCCCTCCCCCCCG